AAACTCCTGTACACCTTGGCTGTGCTTAGAAACAGTGATGCTCTCTGCCAAGAGCTGGGCTTTAGAGTTGGCATATCTCCCGAATCTCAATCTCTGCCCACTTCTCTCTCAGCATTGAAACTTTAAACCTTTAATCTCCTGGGGTCTCAATTTCTTCAGGCTTTTTAAAAAAAATAGCATAATCCACTTTTGGGATATAAAATTAAATGTTTCCTTATAGAAAACTTCAAATAGTCTAAAATAATAGAAATTCTAAATATGTATATCTTTGGATATGTTCTGGATCAACTGAAAAATACCTTCTGTGTACAAGCACTATATCCTGCTCCTGGGTAATAATAAATGCAATGCGTGTCTGTCCTCAGAATCAAAGCAACACAGACAGAGAGCTATACATACTACAGACCTTCTCATCAAATGGTTGAAGCAATGTTGAAGTCAGAGATAGCATTTGATGGTAGTAATGATCATTTTGCAATTCAGGTGGGCTTAGGAAAGCTTAAATTCCTAGTCACTGTCAAGAATCTCTCCCCAAGTGGTTATTAGTAAGGCAACCCAACGAACAAAACAGCAACCAGGAATATAAGGTCATTTTGGTTGGCTTGCAAGACTCTGTAACTAATTCTAGCTGGTTAAAAAGTAAATGAAGACTCGTGACTTAGGCTTAAGTCCAGGAAGGACCTCTAAACACCTCTCTCATGTTAAGGACATTCACGTTTTTAGATATTGAGACAGAAGGCCAGGGTATACGCTGCATGGAGAGAAAAACGTATAGCTGAAGTTTTTTTTTACCCATTCAGACACAGCATTGAAAGAACAGAGAACAGGCCACACCAAATTTAAGAGGACTCCTGACAATTGCTTACCATTCTACAACACAATGACCAAAAAAAAAAAAAAAAAATGACAAGAGAAAGTTCCAGGACCTAGGACTCCTCGCTCTTGAAGATATAACCAGTGATGTGCATGCATGTGCAATGCCCGCTAACTAATTATGTGCAATCAATCTCTATGGATTGAATAGGCAGGTTAAGTCTTTTTCCTTGGGTTAGGAAGGAAGCTAGCAAGGAGAGGTTGCTAAGAATGGTGAGGGCCATAGGTAGAAACCATGCAGGCGGGAAACAATGGCAAATGTCCTTTCCTCCAATGGGACAAAATGGTTGGTGTAATCTAATTATCTCCCAAATTACCTCGGAATTTAAAATTTTTATCAGAAGATATCTACAGAACCAAAACATTTTGTCTGAACTCCAGTACATGATGGTTAAATTTGTCCTAAAAGGATACCTACAAAACAGACTAAACATTTATTTGTAGTTCCAGTGCAGACTTTAGGACAGTTCGAAAATGGTATCCGAGCAGCAGGAAACCGATGAAATTAATCATACGATATACTACCACAAAAATTAAAGTCCTCTTGATATAAATGAAAAATATGTTTGTAAAAAATTGCAAGACACACTAAGTTTTAGTGTTAGAGAATGCGAAAAAGATACCAGAAAAGATCCCATCAAACACTATGTTGAAATAAAGATATAACATGTATGAGTGGTATTATACTATCAGAATAGAAAATGGTATCAGATTCAAAGATTTTGGGAGCCAAGATGGTGGGGAGAAATGTATTCAAACTGCAGATGAATATCAATAAAGTAAGCAAATAAGATTTTTTTTTTTTTTTTGAGAGAGGGTCAGACACCTGAAAAGAGGCCATAAAACAGGAATAAACTTTATCCAAATGATTCACCTCTACAGCAGGTTCAGCCAACTTTCCTCATCAAGGAGACCTCAAAGTTGCTTCAGAGTATCCATGCAAGTTGTCTTGTAAGGTCCTTTCTTTTATGCATATTTTCTGGAAGATTGTTTCTCTCTGACCTAAAAAAAAAATCAGTCCCTCCTTTATGTAAGGGAAAATTTCATCTATTGTGTCTTTCAGTCCTAATTTTCTATTTTTTCTTGGGTCTTGTATCTCAGGGACAGCGATTGTCATTAACTAGGATTTTCTTTTTCAAAAATATACTTACTACCTTTATTTCCTTTTTTTCTTTAACTTTGGGCATTGTAATTTTTTTATACTTCCCCTATTTTTGTAATGTAATATTTTCTGTTGACTTCATTTCCTCCCCAACACACATTGCATATTTAAATGGCTTTTTATTATAGTTAATATGTGCACCTTTGACAGCATCATAGCTTTTAATTGTTAGAGTTGCTTCTTTTTCTGTCTTTTCTTTTATCAAACTACAAATTTCCATATCACCTCCTCTCCTCAAAACACACTAACACACATAAACAATTGATTATTTCTGAAAACTAGACTGTATTCTATTTATTAGGTCTTAGTTTAATGTCAGTTAGAACAAATATTTAAATGAGACAATGGAAAATGTTCATTAATTTTATAATTAATTTCTAAAAGAGATATATTATTTGATTAATTCCTACATGAGTAACTAACTTTATTTAATAATTTTCTGAAGTAACTCAACATAAGTGCTCAAATGTACCCCAAATTTGCTATTTTGTTTTGCTTTGTAAATCAGAATAAAAGCTGTTGATAGTAAAGGTAAGTCACATAAAAATATTAATTGATGCAACACTTATAAAATCAACACTTCATGTATTTCTAATGAATCACGTTAGCTTTAAATCTATTTTAAAGTATATTTAAATTTGTATTGTTGGTACAACATAAAGGAACAAATAAAATTAAAATTTTGCTGTCCTTCTAAATCTAAATAATAGTACATATAATACAAAGGGAAATACTTGAGTTACCATTAAATAATTTTAATACATAAATTTCTCCTTCTATCTATTATTCCCAGAAACACAGAATATTTAAATAATAGAAGAATGCAAAAGAAACAACAGAGGTCATTTTGGATGTACTTTCTTCTCCATTTATCAGGAAATGAATTATGATAAGTACTATAAACAAACTATTCTGATTACCAAGTAAATATGATCCTGTATGAAGTCACACTTTATCTTATCTATGGAAAATTTCTCTCATTGAGTAAGTAGTAGGAAGGGATACATATTTCACTAATCGAATTTGAAGAAAGATTTTGAAACTTGATGATTGTTATTTTTATTAGGATCTATCTAAATTAAGACATTCGTGGCCAACGCTACTAGTGCCCTGACAGATGTCTATTCTTTCTTTTAATCAGAGAATTCTACTTTTCTTGGAGTTAGAAATATTCCCAGTTTAAAATACTTAGCTTTGAAAAATTCAATGCCACTGGAGTAATCATATGCCACACTCCTTGCCAACAGGATTTAAGAAATCTTTGAGTGTGACTTCCCTTCAAGCTGGTGAGAAAGGTTGCCTCAGTTGACGGTTACACTTTAGCCTTTAAGCTTTTGTCCTTCTCTCTCCCCTTGGAACACAGACATGACAGGCTGAAGTAGAGAAGCCTGTGTTAAAGGCCACATGCTAAGGGTGGCTGATTGAGAAACTGAAAGAAACAGAGGTATTTCACAACATCTATCATGTGCCATGTTAGCCTTGAACACCCCACTTCTGGGCTTTTTTTATATCTAAAATAAACCACTTTCCAATTCAGCCTCTGCTTATCAAGTTTCCATTACCACACGTTCAATGCAGTCATACCAGAAAAACTTTATATTAGTTTGTTTAGAGTATTTTTTTCATTTATGATTTATCAGTAGCATTTATATGAACTTTGAAACAAAATCTTACTATTCTTTTCTCTAATTCCATCTTCCAACATTTAAATTTTGCAGATATGGTATTGTAATAATTCCAATGAAATTAATTCAAGCTGAAACAAATTAAGTTATTTTAAAACTTCAATTTGAGAAAAGATTGTATGCTATTAAATATGTAACGATGACTATAAATTATACAAAGAACTTCTGCTTCTCTAATTCAATGTATAAACACTGGCATAAGTACCTAATGATGTTTCCTTTTGGGAAGTATCGGGGGGAAAGGGATGGCATAAAACTTATTCATTCACCCAGTGATCCCTGAGTGATGACTACAACGATGAAAGAGGCTGAGTGGTGAGCAAAAATTTCAGGGAAGCACCACAGAGATAGGAAGAGTATTATTTTTTAATCAAAACTCTCTCTTTATATGGGCTGGTCTTTGTAACTTAAACATTAAAACTATGACTTGTTCTGGGCTAAAAGACAGCTTGAAAAATGCTAGCAACTCAGCAGTAATAATGACTTGAATGTCCACACTACAGAGCAGAAATTGAAAATACTTCCCTACCCTGTTCAATCTTACCCATGAAATTTCCCTTAATATTTTGAACAATTAGTGATAAGGATCAATATATGTAAACCTGTGCTTGCCCTTAATGGGGAAGACACTATTCCTATTGTCAGATGATAGCAAAAGCCCATGCCAAACAGTGTAAGGACTTGCAGTATCACAGATCCTCCAGATTAACAAGAACTGTACAGCTGAAGGGCAACCCACGCAAAGAGAGGGCCTGATGCTTTCCCGGCTAACAGAGACAAGTGTCAGGGTGTGGGCAGAGTGAACTGCTCCTCTGCAACCTAATGAATATAGGCTTTGTTACGTAAAAATCAAATGATGCAACTGCAGTGCTTTCACCAAAAAGAAGGAAGAAATTAACTTAAAAACCTGTTACATATTGTCTCACCTTATTCCACATAATCAGCATTCATTTATTATTCTGAATTCAGTAAATTTGGTTCTTATTTTGTGGAGCATGTTCACTCATATCCCAAAAAAAAAAAAAAAAAAAAAAAGCGTGGGCGACATTTAAAGACATAAAAAAAAAAAAAAAAAAAACAACCTTCTGTTGTTTTCTTGAAGTTTTATAAACAGACCCTTTTCAGGTATCAGACTATCTGATATCTTGACCCTTAAACTCTTGACTAACAAGATTCTGATATCCTCAATGGGATAAAAACCATAAGTGGAGGTACTTGTAGTGATTTCTATCAACTAATCTTATTTGTCTAATTTTGCTACTTTTTACTAAGGTCCTTCA